GTGTCACCGTTGGGGGATGGTGTGTGGTAGGCACATGAAACCTTTCTGTACTGTTAATTGTGACTTCTTGTGAGTCTCTAACTATTTCAAAAAATTTTTTTATTTTGTTTTATTTTTTTAAAAGCCTTTTCAAACCACAATGGCAATTCATTATGAGCTCAGCACTTGCTGCGTGCCATACCCCGAGCTCCTTCTGTTCTAACGTTAATAAACCTCATTTTCCAATATTCAAAAAGCAATTAACCAAATGACAGTGTGACTTTCCATTTTTACTAGTGCCCTTTAGCAGAACACAGCAATAAAAATAAACTGTTGGAAATGAAACTATGAGTATCCTAGATTAATCCCCAAAGTTGCAGTTTCTTTCGTTTTTCAGCCGTTCAATCTTCTGAGAGCCTGAACCCAGCCAAGTGCATACTCTATTTCTGAGCAGAGCTCTGCCCAGTTCTCTGTCGGACTAGAATTGCACAGAAACAACAAATCTCTCATACAGCCTAACGGCGTTTCTCAACAGAGGCATGATTGGAATTCTGAGCTGAATAATTTAATACCCACAGGTACAGCCCATGAAGAGTCCAGAGAATCAACACTTGCCTTGTCTTTGTGCAACTAGGATGCGTGTCTGCATGACAATAATACTCAATTTCAGCCCCCATTCACCTTTCCACCACAGCAGGGGCAGGGCACCCTAGAGCGTAAATAATCTGAACAACCCTACGTTGCGGGCCTGCTAAAGATGCTCAACATCCCTGGTCCCATCCACTGATTGTCTGCCATCAATTACAACTTGACAGTTACGAGCAACTCGCCTGTGTCCTCCCCATATGCCTGCCTTTCTCGTTGTGTAAACACAGCCCTACCTCCATCTGCTAGTCACCACCAATCACCCTTGCCAAGATGGTGACTCCTTTTCTTGCCTGCTAGTCCCTAGACACAAAGCATCCAAAGTGCCCTGCTGGCAGCCATAACTTTTAGTTCAATGGGACCTTTGCTATGTTCCCTGGCTGAAGTACAAGTCCCTTGGTGACCAGGACCTCCAACTTGAAGAGCACAGAGGTACAAATGAAGCAGCACAAAGCCCTTCCGTGGGTCAATGGGATGACGTTACCTGAGGCCATTCCTTCCTCTGCCCCTTGATTCTAAGACCTGTGTATACTTCTGTTAGGGACCCAACACCATGAAGTGGGCTTTGATTTAACACATATGCTGCACTTCAAAGGATGGGACCCTGGCACTTCATCTCTTCCTTCAGTAGTTCATTCTAGGGTGCTGAACGTAGAGCTACTTCTGTCTGGTGTAGGATGTGATACAAACAGGAGGTTCTAGGATCATGAGCCAACCCTACACCCCCTCCACTATTAGGTGGGTCCCCTGATCAGATACTATCTGTGGAATTCCATTCTAGTTTGGTAATCCAAAAGCCCCCAGAGAATAGTTAGTTGTGTAGACTACGACTCAGAGATGAGGAAAGGAAAGCTTATACCCAGAGTAAGTGGATCATTGGAAGGAAGGACAGCTGGCTGCTGCAGGACTGAGGGCGCCCAATGTAGTCAACTTGCCACAAAGCCACCAGTTGATCTCCTGAAGAACTAGTAACCTATTGAGGGCTCAGTGTTGGTCTCTCTCGTTAGCAAGTTGGACGTTCAAAACCAGCAGTAGCTAGACTGGCCAGGAGTAGTGTTGCTTGTTGCTGCTGTGGCCACTCTGTTCATGTGCCCGTCACACCAGTACTATCTGATGACACAGCCTGGATCATGTCCACTGGACGAGTTACCTCATCTATTTGTTTTTTCAGTGCTTCTTGTCTACTTAATGCTTCCCAATTAATGTCAAATGCATGACACAAGAATCTGCACACACTGTGCCCACTCCCATAATCCCAACCCCATGCCTCTGTCTCATACTCTTGTCTCTCATCTCCACGGCCCTTTTATTCAGGTCCCTGTCCACACAGCTAAACTGTTGGCTACTGTGCAGAAATCTACACATATATTCATACATTAGGCCATTTCTTCTTCCACACAAAGTAGATAACCATATGCACTGCTTGCAGCTTCGCTCATTGAAAAGAACTTCCAGCCGGGCGTGGTGGCTCACGCCTGTAATCCCAGCACTTTGGGAGGCTGAGGCGGGTGGATCACAAGGTCAAGAGATCGAGACCATCCTGATCAACATGGTGAAACCCCATCTCTACTAAAAAATACAAAAATTTAGCTGGGCATGGTGGCACGTGCCTGTAATCCCAGCTACTCAGGAGGCTGAGGCAGGAGAATTGAGCCGAGATCGCGCCATTGCACTTCAGCCTGGGTAACAAGAGCGAAACTCCGTCTCAAAAAAAAAAAAAAAAACAGAACTTCCTTCTCCACTGTCTTCCAAAGCTACCCCATAATGCAGCTGCACTTCAGTGACCATCTAGTTTTGCTTTACAGCTACATGGTGAACTAACCCATTGTCAACCAAGATTGGCCCTTTACCTCCCTTTCAGCTAGTCATAGAACCCCCTATACAGCCATAAGTGTGAACTAGGCACGGGCACTGGTACAACCCTGGTGAATAACATGGGGCATCTGTGCTACCTGCTCATGCAGCTTCCTATGCCAACCTAGTCCCATAAGGGTTTGATCCCAGATGTGCCATTTCCATTTTCTAGGAGAAGGCTGTGGGACATGTCTGAGTGTATGACTTTGTGCATCAGCAAGAATCTAGCTCATAATAGTCAGTTCCAAATACATTTGGTGTCCCATTTTCAACCATTCCATCTTGACCAAGGCTCAGCAACATTCTAGAAACAGTTTCTCAAAAGGCTTATAACTTTATACTGAAAATGGTGTGGCATTACTTCCCAGCCCTAGGGGCCTGCATTCTGATTCTGTCACGTGGGCATCCATCAACTCCAAACTGTATCTTTCCCCACTAACACGTTAAGCACCATCGGGTCAGCCATATCATGTGCCCCGAGTAGTAGGGTCGCTTATACTGCAGCCCACACAGGTTGCAGAATGCTTTCCCACTCCAGGCCCACTCAAAGCTGTGACTTTTGTGCAGTTCAGTATATGGGACCGAAAAATATGACTAGATATGAAATGTATGGCCACCAAAACACAAAGATACCAGGTATCTTGCTTTATTTATTGAGACTGGAAATGTAAGATACAGAAATTTAACTTTTACTTGAAAATGCAGTGGTGGTGGGGGAGGCATTCTAGCAGCCTTTCACAACTGAACCGCTAAAAACCTTACCAACGTGGCACATTCCTGAATTTTCACAGGGTTTATCTCCCACTTTCCAGAGTGCATGTGTCCTACTAAGGCCGCTAATGTTTTAGACATTTCTCGTTGACTCTTGATGTGTCTTTGGTGTAAGTGGATCGATGTGATATTCTACAGAATGTTCAGATGGTTGAGCTCTTCAGACCTTATTATGACAGGCATTTGAAGAGGTACCATAGCCCTGGGGAAAGCAGAAAATGAATGTTATTGTCTGTTTCATGTGAATACAAACTCTGATCTTCTTTTCTGATCAAAGCACACTCTTGCCAAATGAACATCTGCATGCCGTTTCCCTGAGGCCGTATTAACCTGCTCCAGCGAGGATGCTATGTCCAAAACCACAGCCACCATCAGGGCTACTGCTTGTTTGAGCTTGCTGTGGTCTACCCTTTCTCTTTCTCCAGGACCCATCCACTTTCTACAGGGACCAGACCGGTGAATCGATGACTTCTACTTGGCCTTTCCTACTGTGGTGGAAAAACCAACAAAGGGTTCCTTCAACTGCCAAATAGATCGATCCCAATTAAACATTTAGGGGATGAGGGAACGACTAATGCGAAGGAGTGCAGACCTAGTGGACCATTCTGCTGTAGCCAGGATTGTATTTATTACTCGGTCCCATAAGATTTCATTCTAATAGTGGTCTGTGTCTCTGGATTTTATGTTAATTCAGACCCTATGGCTAATGGTCCTCAAAATGTCTGAGTATTTTTATTTCCCCAGTGTACAGTCACTCAAACAAATAGGCCTAGGACCCTTTGAGAAAAGATTAGAGGAATCATTGCAATACTTCCTATAGTTTTGCAAGACCTGGCTCTATGACTGTCTCTCCTAACATCCACCCTGGACTGCAGAGGGAAACCACTACTGAGTTTCCTGATGATGATGGGGCCTTCTGAGCCCTCTCAAGGAAAAGAATTCTCTCATGGGTCTTCTGGCTTCTCTCAATACATCCATTACAGCACGCCCGCTTCCTTTAGCCTTTGCATTATTTTCTCTAGTATCTACCAGGGAAACTCAAGCATTTCCATTCTTCTTAGGGCCATCACTTTCTCCATCCTTCTAAGAACTACCTTAGGAACAAGTTCGTCCTCCCTCTGGGGTCCTTGACAGGGTGTTATATCCCATGTCCCCAAAACGTGATCCAAGTCAGTGAGTTCTTGCTTATCCAGCCTGTCCGTTAATCAGCAGAGAATCCCTGCAGCACTGTGGGATTTTTTTTTTAATTTTAAAAAAATGTTTGTGGGTACATAGTAAGTGTATATATTTATGAGATACAGAAGATATTTTGAGAACATGTGATGTTTGTCTTTCTGTGCCTGGCTTATTTCACTTAATTGATAATGTCACATAATGATCTCCTGTTCCATCCATGTTGTTGCAGATGACAGGATCTTATTCTTTGTTATAGCCCAATAGTCCTCCATTATGTATATGTACCACATTTTCTTCATCCATTCATCTGTCGATGGACACTTAGATTGATGATTACCGTGATTCCTCTTCAGTAATTACTAAAATTTTTCCTAGGTGGTTACATCTAAGTGGCAACAAGCTCTAATAATCAAAGTCAAAGGACTCCTACCTTGGTTTACTTTTCCCCAATGGCCATCAGATACATCAGGAAGAGAAAAACAAATGAACCTCCCCAGGATTTCATTTCTATTGTGGCTTAGCTGCAAATCTGGGGGGAAAAACCCTGAATGTAAGCACTTGTATGTTTCCGTTAGATTCTTTCACGGGACTGGTCAACATTCTGACAGATATCATTTGGCGATTCACTGGAGACTTCGTGGCACCTGACCTGGTTTGCCGAGTGGTCCGCTATTTGCAGGTACCTAACACCTTCCAAATGTGACAAGACCAACTGATACCACAGTTAGCACTTAGATTTGTCATAGGGAAAATAATATGAAACCTTCATTTCTATGCATCAGACTCCCCGTTTTCTCCTACGTGGAAGGGCAATAAAAATTTGAAAGTTTCTCAATGTATTTCCTTTGCTAAAAATAGTATCTATGTAAAGAAACACAAACAAGCAACGCTAAGGATGTAAGGCATTCAAATTTCAAATGTTAAATAAAATGTCTGGGTGAATATTAAGGATTTTGGCACATTGTGGATCTCCAGAAAGTTTGTTAATGGTATTTACCTTTTACCCCTCAAGTGAACTCAACACCGCTACTGTTCTTTTCCTAAAACAAGGGGAATTTGTTAGAACACAACTATTATCTATTGAATTACTGCCTAAATTGTACTTTTTAATGTATCTATTGGCATTTGAATTTCTTCCTCTCAAATTTCCTATTTTCCATTTTGAATGATATTGTAACTGAGAGACATTATTTTTTTAGTTTTTCTAAAATCTATTTTTAGATTAAAGATATCCACGCTTTGAATGTCAGTCTGCTTCATTGTAAGCCACATTTATGTACATGTGTATATTTGACTTAAAATATTATATATATACCACATACTTACATGGTTAACATGTCATAGATATATATAGTATAGATTAAGACACTTCAACTAAGTATGAAAAGAATGAATCATTCATAACTGATTTTAGGTCTGAGGCCATGTTTCTGAGTTCTTAAAATTACATTTGATTAATATATTTGTATTCTGATGCTAGTACTTCAGATCTAAATTATTATCATTTTACGTACAGATAGTGCATTTCTAGAAAGCTTTATCCTGCTAGATTTCATTTGTTAGTAGAACCTTTTAGAATACTTGTATTTATATTCATAAGTAAAATTATAATTTTTATTGGTTTTATTATTTTCAGGCCTTGGTAATGAAGTTATTTCATATTCAGAAAATGAATTTGGAACGGTTACAGTTACAATCTTCTTTTGTGCTCTGAATATAACCTTGAAAGTTTGTTATGTGTGAAAGAGCCTTTACCATTATGTATGGCTAGTGTTTTCTCAGGGGAAATTTTTAAAAACATATTTCAATTTCTTTCTGAGGACATTTGTTTCCTTGTAAATAAGTGCTTTCAATTGCTTATTCTATTAGTAATTAATTGTTGAGACGCAAATTATGACAAACTTTGTGGCTTAAAACAATAAACATTTATTATCTCACAGTCTATTAGCCAAGAGTTCAGGAGCAGCTTGGCTGGGCAGATCTAGATAAAGGCTTATCCAAAGGTTCAGTCGGACGCTTTGTGGTAATGTAACCATCAGAACAATTGGCTGGGACTGAACAAGATGGATCACTCACATAGGCGGGAAATTAGTGCCGGCTTTGGTGGAACACTCAGTTCCCCACATGGACCTCTCTATAGGTATATTTTAGTGTCCTCACGACATAGTAGTTGGCTTTTCCAAGAATAATATATTCAAGTGATCAGGGTGGCAGTGGCAATGTGTTTTCTGAGCTAGTCACAAAAGTCACACACCATCACTTTCATCTGATTATTTTGGTTGTACAAATCAACTCGGGTTCAGTATGGGGAAGGAAGACCCACAAAACTAGGAAGCAAGGATTGTTTTTGACATGTTGGAGGTTGGCAACTGTACCTATCTTCGTATTTTCGTATTTTTCCAAAGTATTTTATAACCTATGTTTTCTCCTAATTGTTAACTTTAAAATGTCTTCCTGATCTAGAAATATTCATGTGGGTAACATTTTTTCTAACTGTATTGACAACAAATGGTAAGATAATACTATATAGAAAATATCTTTGTGACATGGGAAAAACGATAGAGAAAGAAATTCTGATAATTCTGTCTTCTATAGAGGAAGCAAGAAAATTGGCAAAAAAATATCAGAATCAAATCTGTAGGACTCTGGAAATTAACCAAAGACTTGCAATTACCCAGGGAGCATTTATTCAGGAGAATGGCTGAATCTCAGCGAGAAAAATGAGCTTTGTGGTGTTTTGGCTTGCATTCTTCTCATCCCCCAGTATTCAACTCTGCAATAGCCTTAAAACTTAATAGCTCTCGTTCACAGTGAAAACAAATTGTCTGGCAGCCACTGTAGAAAGCAGAGCAGGGATAGAGCCCTTTCAGATTTCCAAGAAATTGCCATTATTTGACATGTCTGGCAGTTTTCTGGAAGACTCCACGTGCAAAGCTGTCTTTATTTTACTTAAATCAGAACTCACCCACTGTGGAAAACCTTTTTCCTCTGGGCATTTGTCAAAACAATTACTTTGCTTAACTTTGCTTATGACTGCGGCATTGGATAATAGCTGGGGAAAACCATAGAGCAACCAAAGCTTAAAACATAAGCTGAGTAACGACATACCCACAGGAAATTTGAAAATCTCTGATGTAGTCCCAAAAATCTAGAAGACTAAGTATATGCCTACGACTATGCTCTCCCTAAGACAGAAATAGAGAAGGCACTGAGCTGTTGATCTCGAGGCTTTCTGCAAGGAGGAAGTCAAGGCAAAGACACAGTTGTCAGTTGCCTGAGTAAGTGTCAAAACCAAGCTCCAACATTCACGCAGACCTCTGCAATGACTGGGGAATTAGTAGTTTCTGGAATTTAGGAACATCTCTGTTTAGGAGCTATGACCAAGATCACAGAGGAGGAGACATTCACCTTCATCCCTCTAAAACATTCAAGTATAGATAGCTATTCACAGACTAAAACAGCCCAGAGAGGGCTCAAGGTCCCATTAAGGAAGTTGCAGCAACATTATGAAGCAAGAAATGGAGAATAACCACATAGAAAGAATTGCTGGTATACTGGCATACCTAGAGACCACGGTGTGGCTAGGAAAAGGAAGAAAGGTGGAATTTGTCAGTGTTAGACACAGAAAGGATCAACATTGTCTCTAGTAGCCTGCTCCACAAAAGACACTAGCATCTTTTCCCTCTGTCTAAACAACAGCCATTCCTGCGAGAGAACCCCAGAGGGGGACACGTGGCTATAACTCCCTCCTACCCCCCAAGAAGCAATTGCTGTTGAGCCGCCTTGGGAATGGGTTTGTCACCTCTTCCAACCATGTGCAAGCTCCAGCCCTGGAGCCGTGGCCAACTGGGAATGCCCACACTCCAGACTGATAGTCTCTGACTACACTGGGCCCAACCATGTTTCTAACACCACAGCCAGCACCACAGTAAGCTAGTTAACACTTCAAACCCCAACGTTAAACTCTCCCTGCATGTGTTCACGCTCCAGATACAGACTTCACCACCATAGAGAGGTAGCCCCACCCAGGCCACAGAGCCATTATAATTCTGTGCATACCTGCGCTCCCATTCTTCTCTCCTTGACTAATTCACTATTACCAACATTTCAGCAGAGGCACCTATGCCCTGGGCAACAACTCAGTCATAGACGGCTAGGTCTTGCCCCGACCCTGAAGCCACTGAAAGACTGTGTTCTCAGTTCCCACACTATTTTGCATGTGTAACCATGCTTTACATACCATACCATGCAGCAGACGGAGCATCTGCACCCTGAGCACCAGTGTCATGACCACTCCAACCCCAGAGCCATAGTCACTCCATGTGAGCCCATGCATCAGACCTCAGTTCTATGGCTACTCCATGAGTGCCACTTATCAGACCTGTATGACAGGCCCTGCAAGCCAGATCTAGTACACAGAAAAATCTTCTCAGCTCTAGCTTCCCTGGTGGGAGAAAAGATTGGAGGAACTTCAGCAGCCCTCACCACTGAAGACCCTATCAATTCCTGTTGCTACTGCCAGTATCCACCACTTTGGCCACTGAAGATCCTTATGATCTTTGTCAACTCTGACCTGAGCTGAAAAAACTACACAAAGACTACAAATCTGCACCATCACTGATGCCACCCCACCCAATGAGCCCTCCCCCATAGGGTATGGTCTTTTCAGAGTTAATTAGTTCATAAATTCTGGAAGGTGATTCTTATTTTTTTCTCAGCTTTTTTTTTATACTTTAAGTTGTGTGGTACATGTGCAGAATGTGCAGGTTTGTTACATAGGTATACATGTGCCATGCTGGTTTGCTGTCTCCATCACCCCATCATCTACATTAGGTATTTCTCCTAGTGCTATTCCTCCCCTATCCCTTCACCCCCTGCTATCCCTCCCCTAGTCCCCACCCCCCAACAAGCCCCAGTATGTGATACTGCCCTCCCTGGGCCTATGTGTTCTCATTGTTCAACACCCACATATGCGTGATAACATGCAGGGTTTGGTTTCCTGTTCTTGTGTCAGTTTGCTGAGAATGATGATTTCAAGCTTTAATCCATGTCCCTGCGAAGGGCATGAACTCATCCTTTTGTATGGCTGCATAGTATTCCATGGTGTATATGTGCCACATTTTCTTTATCCAGTATATGAACAGATACTTCTCAAAAGAAGAAAATTATGCAGCCAACAAGCATATGAAAAAAAGCTCATCATCACTGGTCATTAGAAAAATGCAAACAAAACCACATTGAGATACCATCTCACACCAGTTAGAATGGCAATCATTAAAAATTCAGGAGACAACAGATGCTGGAGAGGATGTAGAGAAATAGGAACACTTTTACACTGTTGGTGGGAGTGTAAACTAGTTCAATCATTGTGGAAGACAGTGTGGCAATTCCTCAGGGATCTAGAAACAGAAATACCATTTGACCCAGCAATCCCATTACTGGGTATATGCCCAAAGGATTATATATTATTCTATTATAAAGACACATGCACAGATATGTTTATTGTGGCACTGTTCACAATAGTAAAGACTTGGAACCAACCCAAGAGCCCATCAGTGGAAGGTGATTCTTTTTGGTTGTGTTAATGTTTATTTTTCCCCTATATTGATGTGTGGGCATTTGACTGCTTTACCAAATACACACACATCAACATAAGGCAAAGATAAACATAAAAAAAAC